GGGGGGGGGGGAGGTAGGAGTGTACAGAGGCAGAAGAGTGCCCTGTCTGATTGGTAAGGTCAGGACCCCGGTCCCGAAGGCAAAGCACCTGTCAGCCAGGCTTCCAAGGGACTGGGTGGGAGGCGCCACCTGTACACACCCCCAAGAGAAGGCTGATCGAGGGTACCTTGTTTCCCACCACTCTCCAATATTTCTGTTCCGCTATCTCCCCTGTCCCCCAACCACCACCACCACATTTTAGAGGCTTCTTTCCAGGCAGGCAGGCCGGCCCCTTGCTGCCCTCTGCTGCCTAAACTGGACATTGCTGCTGAGATCTCAGTCGTGCTGGAGCCTCGGTGGCCCTGGACCTGGCAGCTCTCCACAATTTATGAGAAGTGTCAGCTCCAGCAGAGTGGAGCAAGGAAAGAAGCCCTGCCCTCCACCCCTCCTGCTCTGCTTCCCTCACTGCTCTGCCTGCCCCTCTCTGCTTCCCGGGACACAATTACTTCATTTGTGAGGCACCTTCTATTTTACATTTCCACTTATCCTGTTTCATTTGATCTTCCCAAACCTCTGTGAGGCAAAGACAGTGTCTGTCTTGTTCACAATGACATCCCCAGTGTTTGGCACATAATAGCTGCTCAGTGGCTATTTGCTAATGAAGTGAAAGGTTAAGGAGCATGGACTGGCAGAGTGCTATCTAGAAATCTGGCCTCCTGACCTGGCGCTCCATCTGTCTCTCCTGGCTGCAGCCCAAGCTCAGAGAACTCTTAGCTGTTTCCCTGCATCCACCAGGGGATGGTTCTGTCCCCAAAGCTACTCACTCCCACAAAACTCTGCAGACCCCAGGACATGAAAGAACAGCTCAGGAGGGTATTATGGCCCTAGGCTGTCCCAGGGACAAGATGCTGATCTCCTGACCTTCCTCCATGGACACAGAGGAGTCCCAGGGACAGGGCCAACCTGTAGCATACCTGCTCACAGGTGACATGAAATCCCCCTGAACAATTGCCTCAGACCCAGAAAGGAAATAATAATCTTACCAGGGCAGAAAATTCCATCCCACCAAATTCCACTTGCCAAATTCCATCCTGTCAGCCAGTACTGGTATCCCAGGGAACTCTTCCTTGGGATTTTGGCCCCCCTTAGCAGCCCAGCTCATTCTGGTTGCTGACTGCCTGGCAGAGAAGCCTCCCTGCAGCTCCTTTAACTGGCAGATGATAAGGAAGGGAGTCTGGGAGCTAAATCAGAGTGTCTGCTCTCCCAGACCACACTTCTATCTCTATGCCATGGCCCCCACCAAGCCATCATGAGAAAAAATTGGGCCTGCCTTCCTGGAGGCTTCCTGGTGGTGGCTCTGGGAGGAAGGGATCTGGAGGCCCAGAAGCTGTGAGGTTTCCCAAGGTCAGTCCAAGCGCATCCCTCCCCTCAGGTCACACAAACAGGAGATGCCCTCAACTCCCAAGGCTCTAGCACGGAGGACAAAGCAACAGGCTGGAGTGGACTGGGATGTGAAACCATCAGTTGATCCTTCAGCCCCGAGGTCCACCATTAGGGCAGAATGTCTCGGGCCTCAGGCCACTGCTACTCACCTTCCCAGGCCCAGATCTTGAACCTCCCAGGGGCCTGGTAAACTCATTTGCTGACTGGACATTTCGGGGTGGCCCCCAAAGCTCCATATCTTATACCCCCTGTTGCAGGGAGAGACAGCTGCCTCCTATGTCCCCTGTACCCTAAATGGCAGGGCAAAGAGGACTGATGGGATTCCCACAGGAAGACTTTGTTGGACCCCCACAGCCCATCTAGCTAGTCTTGACTGCAAAGGCCCTAGCACCCTCCGTGCCCCTCCCGTCGCACAGAGGAGGAGGCTGCAAGGGTGGGAAGTGCTCTTGTGTTAGCCCCCCCCCCCAATCACCCAGCACTGTGGGAAAAGGGCCTCATCCACTCACCTGGAGCATCCAGCTGCAGGTGAGAGAACTGAGAAGTCAGGACCGAGCAGGGCTTTCCAGACTCACCTTGAATCTGGAGGTGGGGCTGCTGCCCCCAGATGAGGGATAATAAGAGTACTTTTCTCCCCCCACCCCTTAGCCCCTGGTGCTGGGTCCCACCATCACAACATTCCTGGCTCCCTTTATCAACCCTCCAGGGATGTGGGGCTGGAAGCAGAGCTGGAGGAGATAACTGGAGTCTGGAAAGCGTGTCTCAAGGGTGAGAAATGCCCCAGCCCCTATAATTATACCTTTATCTCCCTCACAGGTTCAGGAGCCCCTTTCCAAGTTCAGGGAGGCTTGCCTCGAGCACCCTCATGTGGCCAAGGCCAGAATAGCCATTCCTTGCTGGCAGCCCTTACCCACTTGGGACCCACAGCCTGGCCCCTGGGGCACTGCAATAGCCCTGAAATGCCCCCAGTCCTCTGGCCTGCCCCTTCCCCATCCATCCAGGCACCACCACCTTATTATCACAGACTCGTTCACAAGTCACCAGAAGCTCCTGCTGCCTTGATCTAGGTCCCCTACCCTTGGCCCTCTAGGCCCTGCTAGGCCTGCTCAACCCACCTCTAAGGCCTTTTTTTTTTTTTTTTTTTTAAATATGTCTTTATTGATTTCAGAGAGAGGAAAGGAGAGGGAGAGAGAGAGGGAAAGAGAGAGAAACATCAATGATCAGAGAGTCATTGATCGAGCCCGCAACCCGGGCATGTGCCCTGACCGGGAATTGAACCCCGATCGCCTGGATCCTAGGTCGACGCTCAACCACTGAGCCACACCCGGCTGGGCTCTAAGGCCTTTTTGTCACTACAAATATATCAATAATAATTATTAATTTTAATATGAGTCATTATGTGTTAGGCACCATTAGAAGCACTTTGTATATTTGTTAACTCTTTAATTCTTATAACAACCCTATGGGGCAGCTCAGCTGGTTGGAGCATCATCCCAGGCACCAAAAGGGCACGAGTTCAATTCCCAGTCTGGGCACATACCCAGGTTGTAGGTTTGATCTCTGGTCGGGGTGGGTACAGGAGGCAACCGATCGATGTTTCTCTCTCGTATCAATGTTTCTCTCTCCCTCTCTCTCTCCCCCCACTCTCCTCCTCCCTCTCTCTCTAATATCAATAAAACATATCCTTGGGTGAAGATTGGAAAAAAAAAAGAAATATCATCAACTTGAAACCACAGCTAATGCCAGAGCCCTGGAGTCTAATCTCTTGACACTTACTGTGCCCTTGAGTTTAACTCTGAGATTTTGGTTCTTCATCTATAAAATGGAGATAACAACAGCATCTAACTCTTAGGCTGGCTGTGAATATTAAAATGAGGTGAGGTAAGGTATGGAAAGGGCTGAGTACAGTGCCTAGCATACAGTAAGCAGCGCCACTGCTTTTATAAGTTGCCGTCATCAATGACAGATCCCTCCAGTTCTCAGAAAAGCTAAACATGGGTTTGGAAAGAGGCAGGGGTGCTGAGTGAGTGTCTTGGGTCCGCCCCACATTGCCCAGAGCCTGGCATCTGTCCTGGGGTACAGCATCCAAGCAAGGGTATCTTCCCAGAACATGTTCTCTACCGGTGAAGCTCAAGAAATGGAAATGGGGTCTCTGTGACCCTACCACTAAAAGGTGGGTACCTAGGCTAGGTGTGTCCTGAACCAGAGGAAGGCCTCTGAAGCTGTATGTTTTAAGATTTAAAAGTCCCACCCACATAGCAGGAAGCAAATATTCGGAACTCACATCCTCAGCAGGTGCTTTGCTATTCAGTCAGTCAGCACCCACTTATTGAGCGCTAGCTATGTGCCAAGCACTGGCTGTCACCCAAACTAATGGAGATGGGTGGATGCCTCTATTCAAGGTTGATGTGAAGATCAAGAGACACTGAGAGACTTCCTGTCTGTGAAAGCACATGGAAGGCGATCCTTCCTTTTGTCTGCAAACATTTACTGACTGTTTACTATGAGCTGAAACTTGTATTGGATCCTGGGGAAGCCCCACCCTCAAGGACCCATACTGAACCCCCATTTCCCACCCAGGCTTTGGTCCCACTCTCAGGGGAGAATGGCAAGTGCATGACCCACTGCCCTGGCCTGGGGGCAGATCCAGTGTCCTCAAAGTAATGGGCTATTACCTTTGGGGATGTCATGCTCCAAGGAGTCCATGAAGTCCAGGGAGGGGTCTAGATCAGCCTTCTCAAGCAAGGTCTTGTTCTTCAGGTCAACAGGCTCCCTGAAGTGGAAGTAGGAACTGAGCTTCTTGGCTTCAGACAAGGTCAGTCCTAAAAAGAGGTAGCAGGTGAGAAGGGAACCCCACAGCTCACTTTCTCTATGTATGGGGAGCACATGAAGGGGCTTGCAAATGACCCAATCAACTACTGACAGAGAACTGAAGGGAGAAGAGGGAATAGTGTTCCCTCAGCCCAAATTTGGCCCAGGTACTGCAATGAGGAGAGACCAAGGAGGATGAAGGTGTGAAAAGGCAAGGAGGCCAGACCCACGGAAGACCAGAGTCCCAGGTGGCCAAATTCTCTCCCACCCTCAGGCAGAATCAAGGCAGGATCCAGTGACTGGATAACCCATGCCAACCACCAATGACAGGTCATTGGACATATCTTCCCAACAGATGTGGTCACAGCTGTTCCTTCACTGAGGAAGTGGGCAGTTCGGCCCAGACTCCCAGACATATGTCTGACTGTGCTTGCCAAGAGATGCCCTCCTGCCCAGGAGAGGGGCCCAGAGAACTCACCTTCAAAGGTCCGATTGACATGGATGGGTCCAAAAGGGGTCTTAAAGAGGGCTCCTCGGGGGATAATAGCCACGGCCTTGTCGATCTGGTCAATGATGGACACCAAGCGGGTCTCCTCCTTGACCCGGACCTGAGGAGACAGGAGACAAGCCTTCCTGCCAGGGTGCTGTGCCCACTCACCCCTGGTGCAGGGCCCTCTGCATAACCATCTGACCCGGGCTACCACGGTGTAGACACCTGGTCCATGGAAAATCACACTGGTCGAGCCCTCCCTTTCCTCCTATCAAGATTTTCTTCATTTTAAAATTGGTAATAATACTGGTGGTGCAATATTTAAAACTATATTTAAAAAAAGCAGTCTCTCTCACCCCATCCCTCATTCCCTAATTGCCCTCACTGGGAGCAGGAACATATCATCTTATCATCAGATTTAAATGTTGCTTCTGCCCGGCCGGGCATGGCTCAGTGGTTGAGCATCGACCTAGGATCCAGGAGATCGAGGTTCGATTCCCAGTCAGGGCACATGCCCGGGTTGCGGGCTCACAGCCAATCAATGACAACTCTCTCATCACTGATGTTTCAACTCTCTCTCTCCCTCTCCTTTCTTCTCTCTAAAATCAATAAAGATATATTTTAAAATAATAATAAATGTTGCTGCTTTTGCCTTTTGAAAATATTAAAGCAATCATGCTTACTGTAAACTATTTGGGTAATCAGAAATATTTTATAATATACCTAAGAGAATTAAAACCATTCATGATCCTACTTCCTAAAGATAATCACTGATAGCATATTGGTGTCCTTCCTTCTATTCTTTTTTCTGTGCATATATTTAAAGCACAAGTAGAGTCATAGTTTATATAGTTTCATATCCTACTCCTTGACTTAATGTTATTTGCCCAGCATCACCCCACATTATAACATTTTGTATGCAGTTGAAATTTGGTTACAATCATTATCAAGGGCAACCCTGAGCAAAAGGATCTCATAGAGCTGTTGGAAAAAAGCAGCCCTTGACAGTGAAAACATGCCATCAGGGGCCCCCAGAGTCACTCAGCCACCTATTTCCCATGGGCAACCGACTGGAATTATTTACAAAGGGGGAGATGGAAACTAATATTTAATAAGTGTCTAGGCCAAGGGTTTTAAATATGTCACCTCATTTAATCTGCACAAGCCCGAAAAGTAAATATAATTATCCCAATTTTACAGAAAATAAAACTAAAGGCAAGTTAAATTTGTCAGGTGGGAGGGCTTGGGCATTGGACGCAGACTTTGGGCATCACCTAAGTTCAAGTGCAGAGGCTGTGTTTTGAATTCTGGGTTTGTCTAATTTCAAAGCTTGAGCTCCTTACTTTTTTGACCTAGCTTTCCATTTCTAGGAGTTGATCATTCAGATAGGCTGCATACACTGGAAATGCTGCATGTACAAGGTCACTCACTGTGGCACTGCTTGTCAGGGCTAAACCTTGGAAATCTCCATTCCCATGAAAAGGTCACTGGCTAAATTAGGGTGCATTCACACAATGGTAAAAAAAGTGGGGAGGCTCTTTAAGGCACTGAGATAGAAAGATCTCCTAAATGTATTGTTAGGTAAAAAATACAAGGTGAAGAACTGTGTGTATAACATGCTGCCATTTGTTTTGTTTTGTTTTGAAGATAGAGAGAGAATATGTAGAGGTAAGGTATTTGCTATCATTGGGAACAGAGCTCCTCATGCTTAAACATGAATTCAAACCCCCCAGGGATGTGCTGAAATGCAGATCCTGATGCCCCTCCGCCCCACCATCCTGCATTTCTCACTCCCGGGCATAGTGATGCTTCTGCTCCAGGCTGCACTTTGAGTAGCAAGATTTGGACACACACATGCAAAACGGTTACATTACTGTACCCCAGAAAAAGGACCGGGGTGACTGGAAAACAGGAATGGGTGGGACACTTCACTATATTCCTTTTTGTACCTTTGAATTTTGAACCATGGGGATGTATTTCTAGGAAAACAAAAATTGGCACAAAATATAAGAGCCTAGGCCCATGCCCTTACCCCAGAGCTCAGCACAGACCCCTTCTTCCCTGCCCCTGCCCCAGAGCCAGGCTCCTCAAGAGCTGCCCATCCACACCCACACTGTTGCTCAGGAGCTGTGTTGTTACGTTGCTGTCACCATAATTTCTATCAGGCTAGGTTTCAGATGGCCCAGGCCCCCCTCTCTCATGGTCACTCACCACTACTTCTTCTAAGGTCTTGTCACCCTCGTTCACCTTCTGCAGCTCGGTGTATTCATAATCGTGTGAGGGGTCCCCCATGAAGCGGCCCTTCACCATGGATGTCTGCACCATCATCTCCTCTGTGGCTGGAGGCAGGAGGCTCCACTCCATGCAGTTCAGGCTGCCAACAACATCCACACCACCCTGGTTTCCAGTTCCCCTCCCACTCGGGCTCTCTGCCTCCACTGCTCCTCCCCAGGGTGAGGCCCAAGGAACACTCCTGGGAGTCACGCCTTTCCCCTTAGAAGCCCTAAGTGTCTATGGTGCATCCACCCCCATATGTGATGCAAATTCAATTTTATTTTTTTTAAGGTCACAAAAGGTTCATGTATGCCAAAATTCCAAGACCTTCTTCCTAGATATCTGGTCTGTAAGATTCCGGATGTGTTCTGGAAGTTGAATTTTCCTCTATTGCAGGTGCCTCTGCTTCGACTGGCCCCTAATTCATGCTCAGTCTGCCTGCTGAGCCCGCAGCATGGCCATCTTCCCCATTTCTCAGGAAGGCGGGGCCCAGATTCAAGGACCTCTCCGTCTTTGTCTTCAAGAGCACTAGCCAGCCCAGTCCCTTCTCACTTGCCACCAGGAGAGAACACCCTCCCACTCCTCTCTGGTACACTCAGGGCCTGTGTCCCAGCCTACTCTCTGCTCATCTTTCCTCCCTTCACTCTCTACTGCCTCCTTCTCAACATAAAAACTTCTGGACCTTCTAACACAACGGCCCTCAAATCCATGCCCCTCTAGAAAATGCCCCTTTCCTGTCCCTCCCTCCTCTGCTTCAACTCTAAGCAACAATCTCAGAACAGTTTGCCCTCTGAGAGCCCACCTTCCCCCCACTTTCACTCTCTGCACCATGCACCATGATTTCTGCCCCCACCACCTGAAGAAACTGCTTAGGAGAAGGTCATCACCATGGGATGACCTAAAAGACAACAAATGCATTCCCATTCCTACTTCTTTGGATATTTCCTTCTCCCTCCTCCAGTGCCTGAAGTATTTCCAGGGATCTATTCTCACCCCTCTTTTCTCTCTGTTGTCTCACCCTACTGATTCCTAGAGCCCCAGCTAATGACTCGTCAGTACCCAGAATCCAACCAACCACCTCTCACAATCTCCACAGCTTCCCCCCTGGGCCAAGCCACAATCTACTCTTGCCTGGATACTGCAGTAGCCTCCTAACTGGACACCCAACTTCCATACTCACTCCTCCTTCAGTCTAGTCCCCACTCAGCCATTAAAACCTAAGCCAGATCATGCCTCTATGCAGAACCTTTCCAGTACTTCCCATTGGGCCAAGTCCTTACAAGGCCCTGCATGATTGTCTCCAGCCCCTTACCTCTGTGACCTCATGTCCTTCAGTGTCCTCCTCCCTCACTCCTCTCTAGCCACACTAGCCTGTGTGAGGTTCCACAAACACTAAGCACATGCCTGCCTCGGGGCCTTTGCCCTTGCCTGGGATTCTTTTCCCTCAAATAAACACATAACTCTCTCAGTTGCTTCAGGTTTCTTCTCAAATGCCGTTTTATCATAGGCCATCCCTGACCACCCTATTTACAGTAGTGCCCAATCCTGCATTCTCTATCCCCCTTCCCACTTAGCACCAGCTGACACGCAATACCTGTGTGCACTTATTTGTTATGTCTCCCCTCCCCTGCCACACACACTATAATGTAAGTTTTATGAATACAAGGACTTCGTCTCATTTACCACTGAATTCCTGCTGCCTAAATCAATGCTGGCACATAGTAGGTGCTGAAGAAATAAAACTTAAGGAATAAAAGGAAATGAGTCTCAAATCTCTATCTTCAGTTCAATTTTTTCTTCTGGATTCCAGATCTGTACTTTAATACACCTCCTTACCACCCTGCCCTCCAGGCACCTCACATCAAATTCACTGATAGTCCCTCCTTGAATTCTTCCCCAGCGAGTGGCACCAGCACATAGCCAGCTGCTAAGCTGGAAGGAGTCAGCCTTGACCCCTTCTTCGCCTCTCCCATTCAGTCACAAATCCTGGCAGTTCTACCACTTAAATCTTTCTAACCCACCCCCTGTCCTCAATTCCCTCAGCTGGACACTGCAACAGATCTCTAAATGCATGCCCACTTCCGGCCATTCTGCCCACTCAGATCGGAGCAGGCTCTTCTTGCTTATAGCCCTGCCATGGCTCCCCATAGCCTATGGACAAAGCTCAAACCCCTAGGCTTCTCTATCCAGTTCTACATAACACCTGCTGCCACTGTTATGTTTACCTACCTGCTGTTCTCCCAAACACTCCAAGCCAGCTTCAGCCATCAAGTTTGCATGACTTTTCCCGATACCTTCCTGGAGAACTGTTCATCTTTCAGATGGCAAAGAAGATCCCCCCCTTGCTCATCTTACTTAACTGCTCTCTAGGAGAATGCCCACCTTGGTCTCCCTTTGTGTACAACTCTATTCTAGTTTTGCCCTGGCCGGTGTGGCTCAGTTGGTTGAGCGTGGTCCCATGCATCAAGAGGTCACTGGTTCAATTCCTGGTCAGGGCACATGCCCAGGTTGTGGGCTCAAGCCCCAGTAGGGGGCATGCAGGAGGCAGCCTACCAGTGTTTCTCTCTCACATTGATGTCTCTCCCCCTCTTCCTTCCTCTCTCTCTAAAATTAATAACTTAAAAAAAAATAGCAACCCTATTCTAGTTTTAACACACTTTGCTGTAATTGCGGGGTTACACATCAGTTTCCCTCCCTAAGATGTGAATAAGTTGGGAGTCGGGGTTGGTCAGCCTCAGCCCTCTTTGTAACCCCAAGTCTAGCACAGGATGCATCCAACCAGTGTTGCATCAATGCATGGATAGATAAATGAAGTCTCCAACTTCCTGCACCTAAGGGACTGCTTCGTAAGGTGTTGAACTCCCCATCAACGCTGGGGATAGTCAAAAAGCAGCTGCATGGTCCTGAATGGGAGTGTCCAGGTAATTTTCCCCAGTTCTAAATCCCTTCTCTCCCATTCCACATTCCTTCACTACTTCCTTAGAGAGCCTCCTGTGAGCCAGCACCTCCAGAAAAGATGGTTTCTCTGGACATGCTTCCAAAGAGCACCATCCCCCCCCACCACCACCCCGCCGGGGAGCTTCTGACCCTTCTCCAAACTCAGCTCTTCCCAAAGCCAGACCTGCCGGCACCAGGCTTGCACCTGGCTTCTAATCCAGGTCTCCATTATCCAGGAACTTTCACCTTGCTCTGCCTCCGTCCTTGGCTCAGACTCTACTGAAAACCCACCAGCCTCTAAGTTTCTCCTGCATCCTTTCGCTCCACGCTTAAAAGTGTCCTGCTAGAGCCCCGCCCTCTCAGACCTCGCTCACCACTTCCCCGCCCCCTTAGGCTCCATTTGGCTCTCAAGTCCCCAGCCCCGCCCCTCGGGCCAGCCCCATTCCCTGCTCCTCAAATCCCATCTCCGCCAGTTTCCGTGACCCCGTGGCCCCCGCCCCTTTCGGTTCCTACCACCGCCCACTCTTGCGGGCCCCCCAGCGGCCCTCTTTCCGCATCGCCCTGAGGCCGTGGTCACCTGTACAGCGTCTTGCGCGGGGCGAGGTGGTCCTCACTCAGGCCCTGCGCGATGTAGTAATCGGAGACGAGGCCGAGGATGCGGCCCCAGAAGAGCACCCGGCTGTAGCGGTAGTCGCGCTTAACCAGCAGAAGGGAAGTGAGCAGCGAGGCCCGACGGTCGGGGCTGAGGCCCTGCCCGCTGCCAGACGCCAGCTCTAGGGACAGCAGGAGGCTATCCGCGTCCATCTCCGCAGCCGCTCAACTCGACGCCCCCAGGTTGCTAGGGGAAGCCGTCTCCATGGAGACCCAAAGCTCCGCCCTCCCCTCAAGCAGGAAGTAGGATTACACCCACCTGTGGCCCTGCCCTTCCGGGGCCTCTGGCCAGCCCTAATTCCCTGCGAGCCCTTCCCAAGTGCCTGGGCACCCTCTAGCTCCCACCCTCTTCCTTTTCTCAGTTGGTGACAGGATGTGTTCAGTTGTCACAGCATCCGCGTGGTTTCCCCTAAAACAGATGGGCTACAGTGTGAGGTCGGAGGGCCCAGCCCAGCCCAATTCCATAGATATCTTTGCCTTTCTCGAGTCCTTCCACAGTCTACATTTATTGAGTCCTCACTGTATATTCAGTGGGGGCTTGAGAAGAAAAACAATTACCCGTCAGGGTGCAAACCCAGGTTTGGAGCTGATCCCCAGGAGGGGGCGTGCAGGAGGCAGCCAATCAATGACTCATCATTGATGTTTCTCTCCCTCTTCCTCTCTCTCTCTGAAATCAATAGACATATTTAAAAATTAAAAATAAAATACTCTTGGCACTAAGTCTAGGCATCTGAGACAATCCCCACCAACTACAGATTCTGCAAGACCTGGGTGCATCCATTCCATTCTCTTCAATCTTCAGATGTCTCTCCCTTTACCCCTTCCATAGTACTACTCCTCCTAAGTGGCAAATGAAGACCAAGGCAATAGGGCAAGGTATAAGGCCACTTTGGGAAAAGGGGTTGTGAAGAGGGGTACAAAAAGGGTGACATTTACAGACTGCACTTTCCCAGCAACTACCAGCTACTTACCTACCTGAGGCCCCACAACAGTTGCTTTTAGGCCCAAATGGTAGCAACACGTGAAAGGGCAGAACCCCACTGCATCTGGGCCTCTTCACTCCCTGGGCTAAAGAATGGCTACTTCTTCACACCTACCTCTGGAATCCCCAGCCACGATCAAGCATAAACAGGTGCCTTAGCAAGCTTGTTGTCAGGGGAGGTGGGATTTATTGTTAATATTAACTGATCCTTGTGGGGGGAGGTGGAAGAGGGCATAGTGGGGATAACTGGTGATGGAAAAATAAAATGAAATAGACATAAGATTTTATATATATAGTGATCTTTTACTTCTGGGTTCCTTTGGAGAGGATCATAAAATCAAAATGTCCTGGGACCCAATGCCAAGCCAATAGAGAAGTGTCTAAATTACCCAGATAATTACTTTGTTTTAGTTGTCCAGATATTGTTTATGAAGCCTTTTAAAATCAGTACTTGAGGGAGCTTCACATGAATTAATGTGTCTTCCATCTCAAAATAATTTATAACTCTGTTCCAAACCCTCCCTCCCTCCAGTCAGACCCCTCACTCAGCCTGTCCCTTCCCAAATGGAAGATATAGCCTGTTCCTCTTCTGTAAGGTAATACCATCAGGCAGAGAAACAGCCAAAGTTCTAGCTGGTGGAATATGCTTCAGGTGGTCACAGCACAGAAAAGAACCCAAACCTTTTGTTTTCGTTGATTCCATATTTACTCAGCACCTGTTAATGTCAGAACCCATGCAGGGAAACACAATATGAAGCCAGAGAGGAAAGTCCTGCAGCTTTTCAATACTACCACGTTTGGCAGGGCAAACCCTGTTTAATTATTTCACAGTAAAACCACAAAGGATGCATAGCAGTGTAAAGCACTCAGCCTCTAGTGCCAGGTGGAATGGGCATGGTTTCCACTCTCAGGCAAGTTATTCAATCTACCCAACCCTCATCTATAAAATGGGAACAATGACAGAAAACAAGGTTGTTAGATTAGATAAAATGTATGCGAAGTGCTTAAAAGAGAGCATAAAATATAAACTATTTTTGTTTTCTTAACAGAACATAAAGCATTCTTCTTAAAACATAAAAAAATAATTTATATATTTATACTGTCCCCATTTATATACACACCCTTATCTCCAACACCAGCAGGGTGAGGACTGTGTATTCAACTCACTTCCAAGAAATAAGCAGGTGCTCTCAGGGACAAGGAGCAGCATCATGCTGGAGAGTGTAACAGTAAGAACCAGGATAGCCAAGTCAAAGATGTCGCTAAGGAGGAATTGCCACAGGCAAGAAGGTAGGGTTTGCCTAAGGACAATACTGCCAACAGTAACTGCCAGCTGCCATCAGACAACTGCAGTGGAGACAGGCAGGGCCGAATTCCAGAAGGGTCAGTCCTGGGGCCTCAGCTACAGTTCAACAGGGTTTTGCAAAGACACTCTGTTTTTTCTCTCAGCCCAGTCTTTCAGCCCCATTCCCCTGTGTCCCCTCTGCTTTGGGCATACAATTTAATGGTCGCCAAACCAGTATGTGGCAAGGAAAGAACAGTGGGCTAGGAGTTAGCTGATGAGAGCCCTAGTCCCAACTCACATCAAACTGTTACAGAACCTTGGCCAAGTCACTCAACTTCCCAGACTGGCCTGGGGCTGATAAAGAGAAAGCAGCATTAGTAAAATAAGTAAATAAATAAATAAATAACATTATATAAATAATTAAGAGACCAAGGAGAAAGATAAAATACTCTAGCCGCAAGCCTGGAAAGTCTCTTTAAGCCAAGAGTTTTGGGAAAATTTAATATTAATTCATTCATTTTATATTTAAGTTCATGAGTCACACCAACATTTATGTCCCTGGTAAAAATTCTTAAAGGCCACAGAAAAGGGACACCTCCATAATAGTGTCTATGGGCTCACATTTGATTTCCAACCCCAAATAGAAAGGTCTGACCCAGTCAACCTTTGATTCAAAGAGATGTTATTCAATGAGGATTATTCCAGTCCCAGTCACACCATCAGCTCACCAGGAAGTCTGTGAAGGGGAAGCAGGCAGCCAGGACAGAACCTTCCTCTCATCAGGAAGCAACTCTAACTCCAGGCCAAAGATGGGTGACTTGGTGCCACAGAAGGAAAGATAATTTAGCCATTGTGTTCACAATTAAGAAGCATCCCCACTCACTCGTGAAAGCCTTTCAATGTCACTGGTGCCTGAAACCAAACATAATCCTCCCAGGCTGTGACTGGGATGGAGGGTCTGCCACAGGACAGGGTCACAGTCAGTTTGTGGCCCCGTTTGGGCACTCTGTAGTTTAGCCTGGGTCGAAACCAATCTTCTCCACAATCACGGTGCCCCTGTGCCATGACAATGGTGCCCATGAGCGGAGGCGCCTGCAGCTCATTGAAGGCATCAGCCATAAAAATGGCTCGGAAGATGTGGCGCAAACAAGCTGCTGTGCTCACGCTCTGGTCCACACTGTTGGGCGCCAAGCGGGACAAGTCAAGCTCGTAAAATTCCTTGGGACTTAGAACATTGCCTCCAAGGAGGATCAGCACTCGTGGTACTAGCGTCCGGGCAAAGAGACCCTCTAGGTGGCTAAGGACACTCTCCAGTTCTGCCAGCGTTTGTTGGCATTTTCTGCTGTTTGCCTCGGTGGTGGCCCAAGGTTTCTTCTTCACCATGTCCTCTGCCTATGAAGACAAAGAATGGTGAGAGAGAAGGCAAGGTAGGGGAAAGCTAATTACCATTGAAGAACCCTGGTGGTTGGGATATAGTAGACTATGGGGCTGGATTTCCAGTTCAGTGAATTGCCACAGCTAAGACACTGGGTTTTATCAGAGGGAAATATATCCAAAAGGAAAATACCATAACTGTCCTACACTTAGAACAGCAAAGACAGTGTTCTGAAGTAGGAGGGCATCCAGAAATAAGCAACTAAAGCAGTTAAGGATATTTGGTAGCATAGTAGGTGGCAAATTTTTGCTGTACTAGGAATGATAACAGGAATGAGGATTATTTGGTCTAATAAAGGTGATTCTGAAGTTGATCTTCCAATTAAACATGGCAAATTGAACACATGCATATTTGTGTTCCCATATGAAATACTACTAAATGAAAGGAAAAAGAAAGGAGAGGGGA